CCGAATATTGTTTCAGTCTGTCCTTTCAGCTAAAAAAAAAGCGTTTCGTTTTCTTTGAATAGAATTTGTATGATTGTCAGAAGTTAAAACTAGTTCTGGTGTTATAACATTTGTTCATAGTTGTGCGTTATGGGAAAAGTACATCTTGTGTTGTGGTGGGTTGTGATGACACGTGTGTGGTGTGGGACTGTCGTGGGGCTGAGGAGAGGCTGGCTACCTCCAGCGTCCTGTGAGGCCACAGTCATGATGCACAGCTACTGGAGCCCCGGCACCTGCTGCACCTCGGAGACCTCGCTGTGTCCAGGCTCCACAGCCTCGCTGTGTCCAGGCTCCACAGCCTCGCTGTGTCCAGGCTCCACAGCCTCGCTGTGTCCAGGCTCCACAGCCTCGCTGTGTCCAGGCTCCACAGCCTCGCTGTGTCCAGGCTCCACACCCTTGCTGTGGCCACAACCCGTCAATTTTCGCTCGTATGCGCGCTATGGCCAAATTTGGACGTAATTTGAAATGAAATCGACTCACAAAAGTGACGTACTGTCCCGTTTTTATCCTCAGCTATAAATATCTCTGGAAATTTTCATTACCTGCTGATGTAGACCTGACCAAATGTATATTGTTTCAATGAAATTCTTCGCACATCTCCGTCACTATGTGATGGAGTGTGAAAAGATACGTGAATTTAGAGACGACTCGATAACAAATATTCAAGAAATGTGTAAATATTCCATTCAACATGACCAGAAATTTTAGCCAAATATGCGCAGTTTGCTAATTGTAGGTAGTAAATGTGGGTGACTGTAACCTATCCACCGCTGCCCACTGGATGGGGGGCGGTGTGAAGGATAAACATATCAATTGTGACACTAGCTCTCCACATACGTAAGTTGCTTAAGTATGTGATTACTTAGGTCGGGGCGCCGGTTGCTGTATGGATAGCACGCTGGACACGTGATCCTGTGGTCCGGGTTCGATTCCCGGCGCCGGCGAGAAACGATGGACAGAGTTTCTTTCACCCTGATGCGTCTGTTACCTAGCAGTAAATAGGTACCCTGTGAGTTAGTCAGCTGTCACGGGGTGCTTCCTGTGTGTGTGGGGGAGGGGGGTGGCGAGGGAAAATAGTAGTAACAGTTGATTGACAGTGAGTGAGAGGACCTCGATCTAAACCTTACGTGTATGAAATGTATGAGAGTCGGGCCGAAAGAGCAGAGCTCAACCCCCGCAAGCACAACTAGGTGAACACAAGTCGGTGACTACTTGTCAACAGTCGCGGACCCATTGACGACCTAATAAACATTGTAACAATATACATTAATTGTATGGCCACATCCGATCCCATGATCGTCGTCGCCCCTCAATAAACAACAACATTACTTGAATGACCTCCCCAATCACGTCAAAGACTGCCCCTCTCTCAACCAGTTTAAGAGAGAAGCTAAGTACTACCTAATCAACTCTATTAACCACTTTACCTAATAAATGTCAACTATTATTTGTTATTGCTGTTATTGAACATTAATGACTGAACTTGTAAAACTGCTGATATCTGCCGTGTAAAAAAACTGAAACAAAATTGTATTCCTTCTGTTTATTTAATAAACATTCCTATTTGTTGTTCTGTTGAAACTTCTGCAGTACCACACAACATGTAATTATTGTCATTATTTTTTTTTTCTACTTCAGTTCATTTTTTCTTTTGATCTCAATTAGTCTTAAGTCTTAGTTTTAAAGTTTATTTTTACAAATTTTGCCCGAAACGCTGTGCGTACTAGTGACTTTAGACAGTATATACAAGCTCTACCGAGATATTCAACATTCAGTTTGTAACCCATTTTGTATGTATGTACCTTCCCTAAATAAACATTATTATTATCATTAAATTTTGTAACTAGCTTATTAAGACTGTAACTTGCTTAACTAAATGAATTTTGGGTCTCAGTTTCTGAGCCCATTATGTGCCTCTGTAACCCTTTCCACTACCGCCCACAAGATGGGTATGGGGTGCATAATAAATGAACTAAACTAACTAAAACCTATTAGGATGATATGAGGCTTCAAAATCCGCACTCGACTTAGGGTTGCCACACGTCCGTATTTCCCAGGACATGTCCGGGATTCAGGTGTCAGAATTTGCATCCGGGAAGAATTAAACAAATTCTCCATAAGTCCGGAATTTCAGCTTCCATCACTTAGAAAATTATCTATATAATTATACACTTATTCAGACAATTGAAAGGGAAAGCAATTATGTTGAAGAAATGCTGACAAGTATGGGGTCACAAGTATGGAGTCACACGTATAGAGTCACAAGTATGGGGTCACAAGTATGGAGTCACAAGTATGGAGTCACACGTATAGAGTCACAAGTATGGAGTCACACGTATAGAGTCACAAGTATGGGGTCACAAGTATGGAGTCACACGTATAGAGTCACAAGTATGGGGTCACAAGTATGGAGTCACACGTATAGTCACAAGTATGGAGTCTGTTTATAAAGTGCTTGTAGAAAAAATCTGAATCTTACTCGTTGAAAATTAAAGGACTGATTGTTCAGAAATGCACAGAAGGATACGAAGAAGAATATAACAAATTTTGTGCTGAAGTGGTTAATCTCTACAACAGTTTCTTAGAATATTTGGGTAAATGGATGAAGTCAGTTAAAGAGTTTTCTCAATTGAAGTGGATGACCTTGAGCGAAATATCAAATTGGAATGATGTGGAGCCTTGCGTCAACTATTTCATAGATAAGGAGGATAGAGATTGATGATGTGAAACGTTTTGATCACGTTAGTAACTTGAAGCCGTTTTTTTTTTTTTAGAAAATTACAAAAGTGATGAATTCAGTAAATTACCAGTACATAAAAAATGGCCCAGATACTTTGAAAAATCAAAAGAATATTGAATGCCACTAAAAACTGCTAAGAACTGTACTGTTTTTCTTTTCTGCAGCGTCCCACAATGTAAATGTAGAGCGAGTCTTTTCGCTGATGCAGTCAGTATACTCGGGACTATAGCAGCCTAGCAACCCGTCGCCCAGGAAGAGTGAGGGAGGAGGGGGGGGGGTGTCTTACATCAAGTAATCCCCATCAGTCATCATGCCTGAGAGGTGATGACTGTGAGGGATTGTCTGTTACACAGGTCCTGGTTCGTGTGACAATGATTGTGGGAAACATATCCTTGTGGCAGCACCAACTGGTCATGTCATTAGTTGTTCAGAATATAAGCAAGATGGTTGACAAGAGTTTATATACATCGTGAAACTCATGTTACCCATTCTTTTTTAAATATGAACAGTTTCATATTAAATCATGAGAGGGGCAATCAATATGTTGCCATCAGTTGCTGTTGCCATTAGGTCATGAAAATACGTTTCATTGGCTGCTGTCATGCTGTAAATATGGCAACAAGGTGATTATTATGAATGTTGTGACGGCCTGTATAATACCCTTCTCAAAAACCTAAATAGAAACATTTGAGCAAAATGTTAGCATGGGTGAACCAACCTCAGCCGTTGTGTGTATTAATGTATTCATACGCCACTGCTAAGAAGGACGTCCTGAGTATTTCTAATACACGTTAGAAATATTTTACCATATTTTACCAGCCATTTAACTTATCAGATAAAGGCGTTATCACAGGCAGGATGAGACGCTGCACGATAATCAACCTTCCTCCTGTACGATCACCATCATTTTATTGCGTGTTTGGCCTTACACAAGTTACTCTTGTATCTAAATATACGACAGATGACCTCACTATAATAACTATATTCTTAAAGCGTGTAAGTGGGTTTCTTTCACATGTGGCGTCCACGACGGGCCTAAAACCAGTTTCACCAACCGGTGAATTCAATTTCTTTATTATTTAATAAAGAACCCATACTCATCCCGTGGGCGGTAGTGGAAAAGGTTACATAGGCACATAATTGGTTCAGGAACTTAATCCTATAATTCATTTAGCTAAGCAAGTGACAATCTTTTGAAGCTAGTTACACAATTATTAATGTTATATATACATGCACATATATATGCAACATTTATTCAAATGCACATACACATCGATAATCTTTTTATATCACACGTGATTCAACAAGAGGCTCACAAGTCACTATACAAGGCACTTTACACCTACGGTGAGTCACACAGTTACTAGTCTTGCTCCACACCCACCCAACTGGGCGGCAGCTTTACAGTCATGTGCATGAACCGCTGAACACAAAGGTAATGTTGTCGTATGTTATTAACGTAATAGTGACTTTAGGCATTGTATGTACTAGCTCTATCTATAAATCCATCAATGTTTGTATCTCACCTTGTATGTATGTACTTTACATGAATAAACATTTGATTTGATTTGATTTGTAATACGATATAAACATTTCCCATGTAACAATAATATATGAATATAATTTTTATTTATTATAATATATATCTATAGATATGTGTTACCGCAACTCTTGCTCTTAATAATACGCAAAATTATATTAAAATAATAATAAAGGTATAATGGTGAATGGTTATTGTCCATAAGGTGGCTACTTGGACTTACAGGGGATTTAAATGGAGCGTGCGAGATGTGAATGGCAAGCCCCGCCCCCCACCTGTTGCTTCCCCAGCCCGCCACCAGGGGACAACCCGCTAGCAGACGAATTCTTGGACACCTGCCATCCCTCCCATGCTCAACTCTTCTAAAACTACCAAAACTTTTGCTCATAGAGGCACAACTTAAGTGTAATACAGAAAACATGATGGGTACAATTAATTAAATGACAATAAATAAAGCGCAAATATCAAAATATTGTGTGAATTTTGGCGCTATGAAAATGTTTTGATAAATGATGATAGAGACGTAGCGCACCCGAACGCGGCAGACGGCTGGGATAACAATCTTGGAACAACGTGATCCCTCGTGTGTTTTTTTTTTGTAGTTGGTGTTTGACTCCCGTGTGATCTGTGTGTGTTGTGGTATGCTTCACTTGTAGACGACTACCCAACTTTTTGTGGAACATGGGTTCATTGTTAGAGTTACAGGAGCTACTAATAGAGAAAGATGACCGTATTAAGCATTTAGAAGCCGTTGTAAAAGTTCGGGATGATGAAATTATTGAACTCAAGTCCCAACTAGATAAATTCCAAAGTGTTATTCCGTATGCGACAGGAGCAGCGGCGAGAGTCAACAAAGTCCGGGCTCGGAAGACCAGAGCTCAGGGCATCTCCGCTGAGCCCCAAGCCTTCAAGACAGCCCAGGAGCTGGTGGCCCTCAGCCAGACAACCTTTCCGGAGGTCCCCAAAAACTCAAGGTAAACATTCTCCGCGACACATAACTTCTCAATAGTTCCAGGACTCATTATATACAATTTGGCATATAACTTGAAGGGAAACATATAACTAAAAAAACTTCCTCAAATTGTCATCCCAGTAACACATAGCAATATCAATATGGTAATGTTGTTGGGGATTTATTTACTATTTTTTTGTATGGAATGGCTGTTGCCTCAGGGGGCGTGAGCACTAGTAAGACTGCTGTTACCACTGTGACTGTCAGTGTCAGTGGGTTAATGCCACAGTGTCACTGCTGTTGCTACGTTATTGTTGCATTGTTTTGCCATATGGCATTGCCGTTGCCACCATTTTTATTGCTGTCATTGCGTAGCAGCAGGCGAGTGTAGTCGAACTGTGACATTGGCATAGTTACGCCTGTATTAAGGCTGTGACTGTGTTCGACACTGTTATAATGCAATACACCATCGTGTCATTACTGCAATGACAATCACACTGCTGCAATTTAACTCTCAGTGCTGTAACGATGTTTTCAATCCCCTTGATGCATTGGTTGTATCACTATCATTGCTCTAAAGACCATCACATTGCCTCACGGACATTCATTGCCAAAATGGCACTCGTTGCCACAAGGCCACTCGTTGCCACAAGGACACTCGTTGCCTCAAGAACACTCGTTGCCACAAGGCCACTCGTTGCCACAAGGCCATTCGTTGCCACAAGGCCTCTCGTTGCCACAAGGCCATTCGTTGCCACAAGGCCACTCGTTGCCACAAGGGCACTCGTTGCCACAAGGACACTCGTTGCCACAAGGACACTCGTTGCCACAAGGACACTCGTTGCCACAAGAACACTCGTTGCCTCAAGGACACTCGTTGCCTCAAGGACACTCGTTACCTCAAGGACACTCGTTACCTCAAGGACACTCGTTGCCTCAAGGACACTCGTTGCCTCAAGGACACTCGTTGCCACAAGGACACACTTTGCCACAAGGACACTCGTTGCCACAAGGACACTCGTTGCCACAAGGACACTCGTTGCCACAAGAACACTCGTTGCCACAAGGACACTCTTTGCAACAAGGACACTCGTTGCCACAAGGACACTCGTTGCCACAAGGACACTCGTTGCCACAAGGACACTCGTTGCCACAAGGACACTCGTTGCCTCAAGGACACTCGTTACCTCAAGGACACTCGTTACCTCAAGGACACTCGTTGCCACAAGGACACTCGTTGCCACAAGGACACTCGTTGCCACAAGGACACTCGTTGCCACAAGGGCACTCGTTGCCACAAGGACACTCGTTGCCACAAGGACACTCGTTGCCTCAAGGACACTCGTTGCCTCAAGGACACTCGTTGCCACAAGGACACTCGTTGCCTCAAGGACACTCGTTGCCTCAAGAACACTCGTTGCCACAAGGACACTCTGCAACAAGGACACTCGTTGCCTCAAGGACACTCGTTGCCACAAGGACACTCGTTGCCACAAGGACACTAGATGCCACAATGACACTCGTTGCCTCAAGGACACTCGTTGCCACAAGGACACTCTGCAACAAGGACACTCGTTGCCACAAGGACGCTCGTTGCCTCAAGGACACTCTGCAACAAGGGCACTCGTTGCCACAAGAACACTCGTTGCCACAAGGACACTCGTTGCAACAAGGACACTCGTTGCCACAAGGACACTCGTTGCCACAAGGACACTCGTTGCCACAAGGACACTCGTTGCCACAAGGCCACTCTTTGCCACAAGGACACTCGTTGCCACAAGGCCACTCTTTGCCACAAGGACACTCTTTGCCACAAGGACACTCGTTGCCACAAGGACACTCGTTGCCACAAGGACACTCGTTGCCACAAGGGTACTCGTTGCCACAAGGGCACTCGTTGCCACAAGGACACTCGTTGCAACAAGGACACTCGTTGCCACAAGGACACTCGTTGCCACAAGGACACTCGTTGCCACAAGGACACTCGTTGCCACAAGAACACTCGTTGCCTCAAGGACACTCGTTGCCTCAAGGACACTCGTTACCTCAAGGACACTCGTTACCTCAAGGACACTCGTTGCCACAAGGACACTCGTTGCCACAAGGGCACTCTTTGCAACAAGGACACTCGTTGCCACAAGGACACTCGTTGCCACAAGAACACTCGTTGCCACAAGGACACTCGTTGCCTCAAGGACACTCGTTGCCACAAGGACACTCGTTGCCACAAGGACACTCGTTGCCTCAAGGACACTCGTTGCCTCAAGAACACTCGTTGCCTCAAGGACACTCGTTACCTCAAGGACACTCGTTACCTCAAGGACACTCGTTGCCACAAGGACACTCGTTGCCACAAGGACACTCGTTGCCTCAAGGACACTCGTTGCCTCAAGAACACTCGTTACCTCAAGGACACTGCAACAAGGACACTCGTTGCCTCAAGGACACTCGTTGCCTCAAGGACACTCGTTGCCACAAGGACACTCGATGCCACAATGACACTCGTTGCCTCAAGGACACTCGTTGCCACAAGGACACTCTGCAACAAGGACACTCGTTGCCACAAGGACACTCGTTGCCTCAAGGACACTCTGCAACAAGGACACTCGTTGCCACAAGAACACTCGTTGCCACAAGAACACTCGTTGCCACAAGGACACTCTGCAACAAGGACACTCGTTGCCACAAGAACACTCGTTGCCACAAGAGCACTCGTTGCCACAAGAACACTCGTTGCCTCAAGGACACTCGTTGCCTCAAGGACACTCGTTGCCTCAAGGACACTCGTTGCCTCAAGGACACTCGTTGCCTCAAGGACACTCGTTGCCACAAGGACACTCGTTGCCACAAGAACACTCGTTGCCACAAGAACACTCGTTGCCACAAGAACACTCGTTGCCACAAGAACACTCGTTGCCACAAGAACACTCGTTGCCTCAAGAACACTCGTTGCCTCAAGGACACTCGTTGCCTCAAGGACACTCGTTGCCTCAAGGACACTCGTTGCCTCAAGGACACTCGTTGCCTCAAGGACACTCGTTGCCACAAGGACACTCGTTGCCACAAGAACACTCGTTGCCTCAAGGACACTCGTTGCCACAAGGACACTCGTTGCCACAAGAACACTCGTTGCCACAAGGAAACTCGTTGCCACAAGGACACTCGTTGCCACAAGGACACTCGTTGCCATAAGGACAATCGTTGCCACAAGGACACACTTTGCCACAAGGACACTCGTTACCTCAAGGACACTCGTTACCTCAAGGACACTCGTTGCCACAAGGACACTCGTTGCCACAAGGACACTCGTTGCCACAAGGACACTCGTTGCCACAAAGACACTCGTTACCTCAAGGACACTCGTTACCTCAAGGACACTCGTTGCCACAAGGACACTCGTTGCCACAAGGACACTCGTTGCCACAAGGACACTCGTTGCCACAAAGACACTCGTGGCAAGGAGTGTCCTTGTGGCAACAAGGACACTCAGTGCCACAAGGACACAGTGCCACTCAGTGCCACATGGACACTCAGTGCCACAAGGACACTCAGTGCCACAAGGACACTCAGTGCCACAAGGACACAGTGCCACTCAGTGCCACAAGGGCACTCAGTGCCACAAGGGCACTCAGTGCCACAAGGACACTCAGTGCCACAAGGACACAGTGCCACAGGGACACTCAGTGCCACAAGGACACAGTGCCACAAGGGCACTCAGTGCCACAAGGGCACTCAGTGCCACAAGGACACTCAGTGCCACAAGGACACAGTGCCACAGGGACACTCAGTGCCACAGGAATACATCATTGCCACAAGAATACATCATTGCCACAGGAATACATCATTGCCACAAGAATACATCATTGCCACAAGAATACATCATTGCCACAGGAATACATCATTGTAACAAGGACAACCATTGCCACAGGGACCATGTTTCATTGCCTTACCTTTCGGTTAGCTATCGTTGGTTCCGAGGATGAAGGTGTCCAGGGGCTGGTCTGTTACCAGGCCTCCTGGCTGGTAACACCTTGTATGATTCACAGCCAGGTCGATCAGGAATCTTTTGTAGGTGTTTATCAAGTTATTTCTTGGAAGACTGAGAGATCGAGTAGTAATGACCTTTGTGTAGAGAGAGTTGAAAAGTCTTGGGTGCGCGATGTTCATAGTTCTCTCTCAGGGTACCTGTTGCACCTGAGCTTTTCAACGGGACTGTTTTGCACATCCTGCCATGCCTCCTGGTCTCGTGAAGAGAGATTCCCGGGTGTAGTTTTGAAACCGGTCCCTCTAATATTTTGTAAGTGTAAATTATTTTGTATGTCTCCCATCATAAGGACCCACTCGCTGTCAATAAGGACAATCTCACTGCTACAAGGACACGCATTTCAACGAGGCAGTGCCACATCTACTATGATAGTATCCTTGTCGCCACAATACTGTAGTTAAGTATTCTTCGGTGTGTGCATGCGCGCGCACACGGTTGTCAGAGTTTTCCAAGTAAACAAATTAATTATTTAAATTTGTCACAATATTATTGTATTGAGGTCACTGTTTACGGGCTCTTCCCCCTGCAGTGCGGCTCAGCACAGCTCCTTGATAATATCCTCACAGTGCATCCAAATGATGCTAGTTCAGGGTAACCAGTTACATGCAGGGTTGTTCAGGTTGTTCAGGTCAACAGGTTGTTCAGGGTAACAAGTTTCATGACAAATCATCCTGCGAGATTGGCATCTTGGGATCACATAGGCAGCTCCTGACAAATTCAGCAGCAGGCGAGGGCAAGCTGCACAAATGCCCATGTATCCATGTTATAAATAAATATTATTTATTTATTATTATTATATTATAAATAATATCTTATTATGAATATTATAAATAATATCCATAATAAATAAAAAGAATAGAAATGGCGCTTCCTTCAACTTTTAATCCTAACGGACGTTATCGTAGATCTTCTTGAAATGTTGTATGGTTGTTTTGTCCAGTGAGAGCGTGGATTACCTGTCCTGTGCCATTTGGCCACACAATAAAGCAGCATAGCCTAACATCCCCAGCACCCTGGGGCGAAAACAGCGACGCCAAGTGCAGTGTTACCAACCTCCAGATTTCGTATATGGTAAATGTGGAACCACCCGGTTTAATAAATATACCTTAATTTATATAAAAACAAAACACGACAACCATAAAGTTGTAGTAGATCGCAGAGCTAGCCGATTGGATGACAGATGACGCAGTCTCATTGATTTAAACAATATCAAACAATATATGGTCGTATTATAAGGTCTGATATGAGGGGTTTTCTTCCCATTGGGGAGTGTTGTACATGCTGCTATGCCTGTGTGTCCACTCACAGGATGAACCTCGCTGCCCAATAAACTCGCCCCTCGCGGCAAAAATTTGTAAAACTTAAAAGAGGGACTAGGCGTGTTATAAGTCCCTGCCGTAGTTGTATCTGACTTTTTCTTTTACCAGGCCGAAAAAACGAATTTTTATCCAAATGTTTTAGGAACATATTTCTACGTGGTATTCCTTGTGTATAAACATATGAAACACGAAACTTGGCCAAATATGAAACGAAGAGCCTATTTAGTCGAGGGATTTTTTTTATAAATAACAAGGTATTTTAAGTCTTAATAAACGTGGGAGCGAAAATGTGGTGGTGGTGACCAAACGGGTCAGAGTGCTAAGCTGTGACAGTCGTCCTGTTAGTTGAACGTCAACTGTAGGAAAATGACCTGAAGGGGTAATGCCACACTATATGAAGTGGGTATATACTGGATATGACCGGGAGCTGTCTTCCCTGACCTAAGTAGCCTAATGCACTTTCCACTATTATTTTCTTACGTACTTTTGATTACCATTAGTACTCAGCTCGAAAATAAAGCTTAATAATTGATTAGCAATAATGGCTTTCCGTTGATGCGAATTAATTTCCGTTAATGGCCGTTAAGGTAACTCTGATTCATAACTAGAAGCGTTTTCAATAAAACCTTTATTATTCAACTTTTTCTTGCCATTGGGAGACTCCACTTAGATTTGACCAAGGTCTATGCTGTACATTTTTGAGGCACCATAATTTATGATATATTGAAATTATCTTGAAAATATATATATTAAATGACAAGTAGGATATTCACGGGCACTAGGAACCACCTTCACGATGCCTAAGAAAACCAAATTTAAACTCTCCGGAATAGCTTATAATAGTATGACGGGACATGATTGAAATGTTCAAGTGATCGAAGTGGTTTAACAGGAGAGGGATATGAATGTTCTAAAAAAATAATAATCCGAAATTTGAACACAAAACAATGGTTTCGAATGGATAATTTTAAATTTAAAAAGGAACTAATCAGACTAATTTGGAAATATGGTTGCAAATCTCTAGAACCAATTAACAAAGGTCCATAAGCAGTACACTCCCGGGAGAGTTTCAGACAAGTTAGAGCCATAGAAAATGCATGACTTGGGGGACGGTTGGAGATAGGTTAAATACGAGTGATTGGGAAACGGTTGGATATAGGTTAAATACGAATTGCCACCTACCTACCTTGTGGTTACCTTGTAATGATTTCGGGGCTTAGTGTCCCGGCGGCCCGGTCCTCGACCAGGCCTCCTCGTTGCTGGACTGGTCAACCAGGCTGTTGGACGCGGCTGCTCTCAGCCTGACCTATGAATCACCACTTATGGACTAATATATTTTTACATAAACATTTATTCATTTTTGTGACCAATGGAAAGATGAAAGTTGATCCACGTGTACATAACCATTATTAAGCGCCATATGTATGTATATATATATATATATATATATATATATATATATATATATATATATATATATATATATATATATGTATGTTTATTTAAAGCAGGCGTTCCTTTAAACATGTAATTAAATATGACAGCATTGCTGGCGTTGTTGATCATAAAGCATAGTGCTTTCTATGCTTCTATGTTATTATTATCAGTAAGTTAAGCAATCAAGTTAACAAAATTCATGTTAAAGAAACTAATAATTATTGAAGGATATATTTTCTACAACGTTTCTTTTCACTCTGGAACATCTTCAGGTAAAGAATGAACACTTGATGTACACTTTGATTAAATACACACGTGAGAGTCGAAGGAGTTGTGGGATCTGGTGAAGGGGCAATCAAACATGGTAAGGGGATAGGGCCAATTAATTAAAAATAGGGGAAGGGAAGGGGTAGGTCCAATCAAGCATTAGGTAAGGCACTGGTAAAACTGTGGTGGGTGTGGAGACCTCGGTCTAGACGCCATTATCCAGTGATGTTTGATGAGGTCTGGGTCTGAGTGTCGGCAAGATGATGTTTGGTGAGGTCTGGGTCTGAGTGTCGGCAAGGTGATGTTTGGTGAGGTCTGGGTCTGAGTGTCGGCAAGGTGATGTTTGGTGAGGTCTGGGTCTGAGTGTCGGCAAGGTGATGTTTGGCGAGGTCTGGGTCTGAGTGTCGGCAAGGTGATGTTTGGTGAGGTCTGGGTCTGAGTGTCGGCAAGGTGATGTTTGGTGAGGTCTGGGTCTGAGTGTCGGCAAGGTGATGTTTGGTGAGGTCTGGGTCTGAGTGTCGGCAAGATGATGATTTGGTGAGGTCTGGGTCTGAGTGTCGGCAAGGTGATGAGTGTCGGCAAGGTGATGTTTGGCGAGGTCTGGGTCTGAGTGTCGGCAAGGTGATGTTTGGTGAGGTCTGGGTCTGAGTGTCGGCAAGGTGATGTTTGGCGAGGTCTGGGTCTGAGTGTCGGCAAGGAAACGAAGTCGTTTTTCTTCGCCAAATCGATAGTATGTAAAGTGGGTCTATTTTCTTGTATAAATATATAGCTTCCAGGATTTACCTTCTTTGGGCCGTGGTAGATTTCAAGACTTTTGTATTATTTACTAGCATGTTCCTAGTCAGTGTCATGTTATGTTCATTTTGCATGTGATTTCTAGAGAAACCAGCATGTAGATGACAAGTCAGTCTTCTCCAAAGCTGAAGAGTGCACTGTAGTGTCAATTGTTAGCGTAGAAAGTGAGTTTTTTATGTCAATTGTTAGCGTAGAAAGTGAGTTTTTTATGTCAATTGTTAGCGTAGAAAGTGAGTTTTTTATGTCAATTGTTAGCGTAGAAAGTGAGTTTTTGATGTCAATTGTTAGCGTAGAAAGTGAGTTTTGATGTCAATTGTTAGCGTAGAAAGTGAGTTTTGATGTCAATTGTTAGCGTAGAAAGTGAGTTTTGATGTCAATTGTTAGCGTAGAAAGTGAGTTTTGATGTCAATTGTTAGCGTAGAAAGTGAGTTTTGATGTCAATTCTAAGCATGGAAAGTGAGTTTTGACATTTTGCTTGTGCAACATGATGTGACATTCAACACAGGAAGTGCCTCGTAGCGTCACGTGTCTGCCTGTAGACACATCGTAGCGTCACGTGTCTGCCTGTAGACACATCGTAGCGTCACGTGTCTGCCTGTAGACACATCGTAGCGTCACGTGTCTGCCTGTAGACACATCGTAGCGTCACGTGTCTGCCTGTAGACACATCGTAGCGTCACGTGTCTGCCTGTAGACACATCGTAGCGTCACGTGTCTGCCTGTAGACACATCGTAGCGTCACGTGTCTGCCCGTAGACACATCGTAGCGTCACGTGTGTGCCCGTAGACACATCGTAGCGTCACGTGTCTGCCCGTAGACACATCGTAGCGTCACGTGTCTGCCCGTAGACACATCGTAGCGTCACGTGTCTGCCCGTAGACACATCGTAGCGTCACGTGTCTGCCTGTAGACACATCGTAGCGTCATGTGTCTGCCTGTAGACACATCGTAGCATCACGTGTCTGCCTGTAGACACATCGTAGCATCACGTGTCTGCCTGTAGACACATCGTAGCGTCACGTGTCTGTCCGTAGACACATCGT